CACCATCATCATCATCATCATCAGTATCACCATCATCATCAACATCATCATCATCATCATCATCATCGCCACCATCATCACCACCACCACCACCACCATCATCATCATCATCATCATCACCATAACCACCACCACCACCACCATCATCATCATCATCATCATCACCATCACCATCACCATCATCATCGCCAGGAGCACAGCAGTGTCAACCCCCCTTGCGATTGTCATCAGAGCATCGCTGCCCCGAACGTCATATCGCAACATGTCGCATCGATGGACAATGACCATCATGTTCGACAGCAGAACATCGTGTCGTCGTCATCCATTGTCATCAGCATCATCATCAACAGCGACAGCAGCAATATCATCAGCATCACCATCTTCACCATCTTCATCATCGTCATCATCATCATCATCCTTCTTACTCTTCTCTGCTTATCCTCCTTGTTTTTATCCTGAGAATGCTCTCATCTTCTTGTTATGTTTCGCAGTTTTCATGCTGATGACAATGACGATGGCCATCATCACAACAAGTTCATACTCATCTTCATCTTGGTGACACGTTGTTTTTGTTGTTGTTGCTGTTGGACGTGGTGGTGGTTGCGATGGCAGAGGACGAGGAGGCGGATGAGGCGGAGGAGGAGGAGGAGGAGGAGGAGGAGGAGGAGGAGGAGAGTCCGGTGCTGGCGGTGGTTGTTGTCAATGCGCTTGCTGGTACTATGTTTGTCTTGGTGCTGTTTCTAAATTTGGTGGTGGCGGTGCTGTTGATGATCATGCTGCTTCTTTTTGTTGTCATCGTTGTTCTGAGCCGTTCAGCCAGCAACGGCGTCGAGGTATTGCTGCGCGGGTGGCTTTGCATTTGCTGGCCTGAGCTCTCATCGAGTTGTCCGCAAAGCATAGGAAGCAGAAGAAGTTTAATTCCGAACAAGATTCCCACCATCCGCTCAAAATGCCCTTGGCTGCTGTTCTGCAGGTTCCCGAGACCTTGCGATCCGTGCTCCATTCGAACCGGGCATGGAGCCCGGAGTTTGCCGAGGCAATGTAGTGGGCAACCTGCAGAGTCTGCAGAGCGCTGCGAAAGCTCTCCCACCCATGATCTTCCTGGCATCTCTCGTTGCGACAAGCCTTCGCTTGGGAAGATGTGGCCTTGTGGGCTCAAGTGGGCCCTTCGAATCCCCCAATCTTTCTTCGCTGCGATGCCAGCTCATGCCCGTATCCTATGTGAAATTCAGGAGTGGTGGGTCGGGTGCAAGCATGCAAAGTGTAGGAATGGAAAAGATTACCAATATTGTTCCCTTAACTCCCTATCTACCCGTGCTATGCTCTGCCATATTGTACCGATCTGCCCCAAAACCCCATTCCAACTACTCAGGCCCCCTCGTTTATCTAGACCCAAGGCGCGAACTGCAGAAATGATGCTCTGGAGCAGGACGAGGATGTCGGATGCATTGTCGTTATGATCAAGAATACCTTTGTGCACCTCGAGCCCCTGCTGCCAGGCTTGGCTTGCGTCTGACCTTCTCACGATATAAATATAGGGGCCTAAATAATTATACCTATAGTATTCGGGGGTCCCTACTATAATTAAAGTATAATGGGCCCCCCAAAACCCAATTCTAATGATTAAGGCCCCTGTATTAGGGTTCAAGGGTCTGAAGGTTTTCAAAGGTTTTGGGGGTTCAGAGGTTCAGGGCCTAGGTGTAGGGTTCCCAGGGAACCCGCCGCTCTGGGCTTCGAGTCCTCAACCCTTGACTGCCCCAAACCCTAAAAACGCTAATCCCTCATCCCTCAACCCTAAACCCTAAACCCTAAAACCCTAAACCTCAAATCGTAAATCCCTAAACCGCTCCAACTCTGAGCCCGGAATAACCGAGGCCTGGAACCCTACACCTTAAACGCGCTCATCCCCACCACCTCAAGCTCAAACGGCCCCTGCATCCCCAAACCCTAAAGCTTAAGAAGCCCTAAGCCCTTAGGGTTTAGGGTTTAGGGTTTAGGGTCTTATCCTTAAACCCTAAACCCCCAAAAAGCCCCAAGCCACAAAACAACCCTAAACCCGCAGGACTTCGCCGTGCGAAGTCAGAGCCGGAGTTGGCAAAGCCACAGCACACGCCCAGGCGACGTAAACCCTACACCCTAAACCCCAAACCTTAAACCCTAAACCCTACCGAGAGGGAATCAACATGTGATAGGGGCCTTTGAAACTAGAACAGTGCTCGTTGAAGAGATTTGTAGAGGTTTCATAATGAGGGATTTATCGTAGGGTTATAGTACAAGGAATTCAAAAAATTGGTATAGCTTTCTTGTGGAACACTATGCTTGACTGAGAATAACCCACACTTGTTCTCACAGGGTTTAGTACAGGTTTTGGGGTTTCACAAGATTAGCGGGTACCGTGTTTCACACTCTTCGGGGGAGTGTGTTTTGTAAGCATCCTGTTGTCCTGCGTTCCTGCTGAGGAACTTAAATTAACAGGGGTTCTTAACCGCGTGTCAATGTTAGAGGGCTTTACTTCTAAGGCTTTTCGTTTATGTGGTTTCATAAAGGCTCTGCAAGGTGTTAAGGAACCGAATTAAAGATACCAAGACAAACAATGCAGATTGTATCCGTTCGACATCTCGATTGTTATCCCAGCGTCGATCCCCAAACGGAGATAGAGCCATATGACGACCATGACCATGACCACAACGACACGACGACCACAACGACCAAGACGACCGCGACCAGGACCCCTACGGCCCTACGACGAGAAGGGGACGATCACGACACGACCAGGACGACATGGACGACACGACCACGACAACCACGACGACCAACCTCGCCACCACACCAGCACACCAGCACACC